GAGAATGTATTTTTGGGCATAGTTAGAACCGTAGCATTTAAATAAATAATTTGATAATTTTTGTATTCTTAAATTTTTAATAAAATGTACTGCAGTACTGTAATATTTAATAGTGCTGTAATGCGTTGATCGCATTGATCACGTGATAAGGGGTGCACCACGGTGCAGGTGCACCAAAAAATAAAATCCATAATAAAATTACAAAATAAAAACTTATTTTAATACTAATATATATATAATATTAATAATAAATATATTAGATTTAGAATGTGGCAGTTTAGTGAAGTGGTCTAGTTATTATCCCACCAAGTGGCAAATCCAAAGTTTGAATCTTATAGATAACATTTTTGAAAAATAAGCCTGTATTATTATAATGATTATCTGTCAATCAGTTGGGTTCTAGAATCTGTAATTTTGGTAACATCATATTTATATAGAAGCTTCAGTGTATAAAAAGTCAAGAAACTAGAATAATTAAAACTTGTTTAGGAAGACCCGAATAAAGAGTAGCTATAATTTTTGATAATACTACAAAAAAGACTCAAATTTGGAAGTTAGAACCAAGATTGGAAAACTGAACAACAACAAGATCCTTTAATAGTAAGATTTACTAATCTAGTTGTCAATTTAAAAAGTTAAAAACTTGTGAGACATTATAGAGTACACCAACCTTGGCTAATTAACATAAAAAACTAGTGGTGGAGGCTTTATCCACCATGGCTAGGAGCTATAGAAGTCAGGTAACTGACAAACTAGACATGTCTAAAGAACTAGCTACCAAATTAGCAGAAAAGAACATGTGCTAATAAATTATATACCAAAATGTGATAAGAGCACCAGTAACTAAATCCAAGTCAAGGTTGAATCTTTCAAGTTGTTGATTGGATAGCTTATATATCTGCTTAATAGAGAAATACAAGCCAGTAATTAGTTGGTGCAAATCTAAAATAAGTCACAAGAAGTTCTAAGACAAAGTATACAATCTAGTAGAATAGGCTAGTAATAGTTTTTGGATTAGTATAATATAGTATAAAAATAGTTAGAATCAGAAAATTTAAACAAATAACTTCCTAGTTGAGTTATAAATATAGTATCTAGTATAGAAACCTGCAGGTAGACTACTTAAATAGATATTTAAAAAATATATATGTAGCTAGTTATATTTTTATTATAACTGAAATATTAAATAATTACTAATAAAGAGTTTTTATAGCCAAAGAGGTCACTATAACACTAAAAAAAATAGGTCTATATCACTTGCTCAACAACAATTTCTCTAACATCTATTTTCCCAACAATATTTTCCTAACATACCCTTCTTCAACAACTATTTCCCTGACAACCACTTCTCTAATATACCTTTTTTCTCAACATACCTTTTTTCTCAACAACCACTTTCCCAATATCTCTTTCTTAGACATATTTTTTTCTCCAACTTAGAGAAAAAGGTATGTCTGAGAAGGGGATGTCAGAGAAGTAGTTGTTAAGAAAAAAAGTATGTTGGAGAAAAGAATATATCAAAGAAGTAGTTGTTAGAGAAATGGTTGCTGGGGAAAGGATATGTTGGGAAATATTGTTGGGAAAATAGATATCAAAGAAATTGTTGTTAGGCAAGTAATATGAACCCAAAAAAAATATATATCAGATTTGCTATTTATTATCTTCTTGTAACTAAACACCAACTTGGATATATGTTTCTCAATAAGAATGAGTAAAAAAATATTGATGTTATTATCAGTCTTCTTTATTCTATACTTCAAGCAACTGAGCTACTTTCATCTAGTACTTACCCAACAATTTCTGATATTAGTTTGTGCTTTGGAGGTATTCTTCAACATCTTGATAAATTTATTGATGAAAAAACATATTCGGATGAAGAATATATAATTGCTAATTCTATATGATATAAACTAAGTAAATATTGGGTACTTCTTGATGAATCTATAACTATTGCAGCAATTCTTGATTCATCTTCATAACTTACAACATTTGTATATGGTAAAAAAGAGATAAGGCTATTACAAATTTACGAAATTTAATAGTTTAATATATGCTACAAAATTCTGCTGTAAATACTGCTATTTCTTTTTTTAAAAATAAAAAAAGAGAGCTTTTTAAATGTTTATTAGATCAGCAAATAGATGAACCACTAGAAGAATTAGATCTGTACTTATCTTCACCTTCATGGTCATTAAATAGATGTCAGTTCCCTACTTTAGCAAAAATAGCTTGTAATTATCTAGCTATTCAAGGAACTAGTATTCCTTGTGAAGAGATATTCTCTGTAGTAGCAGGAACAATAACAAAAATTAGAAATCATCTTCTTCCTGAAACAGCTTGTGCTTTGCTTTATATGAAAAGCTATATAGAGCAGAATATTTTGGAATAGTTAATTTTTATACTTATTGCTATTAGCTTTCAATTATAGCTTAGTGAACTTAAGAACATTATATTTGCTTAAATAAGAATTATCATATATGTATTTTTGCTTAATTGTTAAATAAATTTTTGTTATCTGTATGATGAACAGATTGTGCATATTTTGCATAACATTTCTGCATTTATATTAGTTTGAGCTTTTTTAAATATAACCAAAATTTAATATAAGTTTAATAATTTTATAGTTTAATGTGTCTCTATAAGATAACTTGATAAACTCTAATACAAGTAATAATTTAAAGTCTCTAATCTTATAATCACTGCTATATAAAAATATTTTTTTAATAGACAAGTAATATAATCACAGAAAGATTATATTAAAATTATGCATAATCCACAAATATTAAGACAGTAATATGAGAAATTTCATTTTTATTAGCTAATTAGCTAAAATATACAATAGCGGCACTTATGCATACCATCTGCGAATATAATATACTAAATAATCTTTAAATATTGAAATGAAGAAGAATCTACATGCTAACCAAATATGATATAGCAAATATCTTTTTACTTCATAGAACTTTGTTCACACAAACAATTTTTTTTAAGTTAAACAATTTATTCTTTGTTGTATGTACTGTATTTATAATACTGAATTCAGATTAAAATCAGATAACTATTTTTTGTTATGTTAAATACTTTTGGCCTTAAATTTCTTATGCATGTTTATAACAAAGCTTAAACAATTATAATAACATCATTTTTTAGATAAAGTATATTTAGAATAAGCTATTCGTGTTTATAAATAATACAATGAAATAGACCTGATAGATCATATTTGACAGGTTATCGATTTTGGGAAGTTTACAAGTATATCTTTTTTTTTCCCAAGCTAATTTTTTTAATGTCTTTTTTTTTAAACCACTTTTTTCAATTTTACTTTTTTTTTTTTAGAAGCCTTTTTGGATTTAGTTAGACCAAACACCAAACATTTAACTGAAAATTTAATAATTTTTTAATATAGTCAATCTTCAATAAATTAAAACAATTACATAATTTATGTGCACTTAAGAAAGTACATATGAAGTTGGGGCTTCCAATATACTAATTAATCAAATCTATATAAAGTATAGTAATAAAAACTAGTAGTACAGATTTATACATTGATTAGCAAAATTAGTAAATTTACTAGTGAAGACTAGTGTTCAAAAATTAATTTATCTTATGTACCAACTTTTTTTTCTAGTAATTTATATATCAAAAGATTAATTTAAATTTAATCTGATTAAACAAAGTTACAATTTAAAATTTTAATTAAATTAGTAAAAAGTTAAGAAAATGAATTTACATTGTAAAAAAAAAATTAAAAATTAATAAAAATAAAAATTTTAATCTGTAACTTTGTTTAATTATGTTAGACTAATCGTTTGATGTATAAATTGCTAGGAAAGAACAGTTGGTACGTGAGATGAATCAATTTTTTGAACACTAGTCTTCACTAATAAATTTACTAATTTTGCTGATCTATGCATAAATCTGTATTATTAGTTTTTTATTACAATATCTTATATTGATTATATAATTAATATATCAGAAGCCCAAATATGAAGTGTACTTATATGCTACATTAGAATGCATGTTAATTTAGGATGCCATATAGGTTGTTTTTGAAGAACTCAGTTTTTAAAAAATAGCATTATTTCATGTTTATATAGTATTTTAGAACATATCATTATTAATATTGTAAAATTTGTCACTACTACAATTTATATAATCTGCCATTATGACATTCAAAATGAAGAATAATACCTAGTTTTTCACTGCAAGAAAATAAGCTATTGGATCCCGGCTATATGAGAGCTTATATAACCAAAAATTTACCTCTTATTCTGCTATTACAAAAAATAAATAGTGCTTATTCACTTTAATTTTATTGATTTAGTAGCAATAGTTATAATATGGATATATTTAAATAAGGCATTTTTTTATATTTATATTAAATTAGTCTGTAAGTTTAATCTAAAATATAACAAGCTGCTCTTTTAAGTTATTCTATCTCGATAAGATTGTAAATTATCTGCCATTTCTCATTAAATTACTTATTTAGATTATTTAACTGAAAAGTATAAATTTATTTGGTAATCAAAGTATTTGAAAGCAATGTATGCACTTCTTGTTAGCTTTATTAATTTATTATTCATGTTGATTTTGCTAATAAATAATCTTTTATTCAAGTTGATTCAGTTAATATTATTTATTAATCAAAATATTTGAAATAATCTATATATCTATTATTAATTTCTTATTTGTAGAGGTATGATCTGTTATCTATTTTTCTATTTAAATTTATAGATAACTATAAATTTCTTTAGTGAAATGGATAACAGATTACACTTCTACTTATTCATGCTGATTTATGATTCTTATTACTTGATTTTTAGAAAATTTATATGCAAAGTATTGATTATAAATTTTAGTCTTATCTAAATACAATTTTGTAATTAAATTTTCAAACATGAAGTGATCAACAAATTGAAGATCAATCAGGGCTTTTTTTTTTAAGTTTTTTTTTTAAAGATAATTTTTATTATTTTGTCATTGGGAATATCTATAATTTACATTAAACCAGTACAGTATTATATAAAAATAGAGTCTTTGAAAATAATTTTATATAGTATTATTTTTGTATTATCTTTAAAATTCTTATAACAATGCCAGTTTAACGTAAATTATAGCATCCCCTTTGTCTTTCTTTTTTAATTTGCTTTTTTTGAAATTTTATTTTATTTTTTTAGACTAGGACTAAATAATTGTAAAATCAGTTAAAAAGACCAATCTTTATTCGGTCTTTTCAGAACTGATCTATCCCTAGTTAGTTTAACCCAGTAAAAGCTCTAATTATTGTTAAAACTAATAATTTAGAGAATGTTTATTTTTACTATTAGCCATAATTTATTGTAATAATAGCTATAAGTTATATAAAAAATATAGTAAAAATAGTAAATTTTTATAATGAAAATAGATATTTTATAATTTTAAGCTATAGCTTCAAGCTGTAGCTAAAATTAATAGTTTCAAGCTAAAGCTAAAGCTATAACTAAAACTAATAACTTTAAGCCATGGCTAAAGCTATCTTTACTTGGCTTAAATTATAACTTAAAGCAATGATTTTGATTATAACTTAGGCTATTTATTCAGCTTAGTTTTATTAGGCTTAGCTTAAATATATAGCTAAAACCAATGTCATGGTGGTGGTCAATATGCGGTATATTATATAAGAGGAATAGAGCTGGGACCTTAAAGCTCCGAATAGTTAAATCAACACATAAAAAAAAAATAAAAATAAAAATTGAATATGAATACTTGTCTTCTATGTCTCGAAGTGATCGATCAGTAAGAAATCAAATTGCGAACTTCGCAAGGGGAGGGTTAATAATCTTGCAATCGTATAGTAATTAATTACATAAGGGTTAGTAGTTCAAAAATAGTATACCGAAGTATAATAAATATTATATATGAAAAATGTATAATTGATTAAATTAATCTAAGAGTCAAAGGATTGTATGATCAATTATAATATAAAAATCTAAAGTCAAAGTATGTATATAAGCAAAAGCAAAATAAACAAATAAAAAATTTTAGTTGAAGAAAAAAAAAGAATTCGATAATAAATAATAAACTTTAATCTCCCTTAAATAAGTTTGTCCCAACTTCTTTATAAACCATCATTGCCCTATTATCTGAGCTAGGTTTTATTTGATGAAAGTCATTTATTAACCCAAGACACCAGAACCTGCGTACATAAATCAGTTATCTCATTAATTGATCAAAGAATTTGTGTAGTATAGAGATTATAAAGTTGTCACATGTGTTGGTATGTCTAAAGATTTAATGAAGCCATTTTTTCATGGAGATGAAAAGGATGATTTCTCTTCGATTATGATAGATATGCCAAGTCAAAAGGTTGGGATGATGAAACAAAATGTGTAATGGTGATTATGCATATGTCAGATAAGACCAAGGTGTGGGTTAGAGAGCTATCAAAACCTGTAACAATAATTGGGAAAAACTGCAGAATGGAATAGTGAAAGTGATAAATGCTGAGAGCAATGAGAAGTTAAAAATAAATTACCTCAGAAATATTAAGCAGGGTGAAAAAAAAACAATATGAGGTTATACTAGCAGATTCAAAGCCTATTTGGATGCTGTAAAAGACAAAATAAGGAAGGATAAGAAATGAGATTGGTATTTAGACATAATGCAACAGGGTTATCAGTTAAAAGTAAAAAACTTTTGTCCGAATGATTATAATAGAGCCCAGGTAACTGCACTTCAGATTGAAAATTTTCTAAAGGATAGAGAACAAAGAGATAAAAAAAGTTCATTCTTTGTTGAAGAAAAACCCCAAGCAAATTGTCTAGATGTTGATAGTATAATAGCGGCAATAGAAGCTTTACCAATCAACTGTATAAAGCAAGAGACAAGTGATACTAGTAGACTTGATGTGATCGAAATGGAAATGAAAGAGATAACAAGAATGGTAAAACAACTTGTAGATAAGCAAACAATGGTTGGGCATCCTAATGATAGAAATCAAAACTTTACAAGAGATTCAAGATACCAGAGGCAGAGCTCCAATAACTGAAGATGTTTTAATTGTCAACAAGAAGATCACATCTTATGCAACTGCCCAAACAGAACAGCCCAAAATTGCCCTGAACAAAGAGATATCATAAACAAAATTAAAAATGCAAATATCTGTTATTTTGAAATAATAGATACCTCATTGAATCTTGGAATAGAATGCCTCAAAGTGGAAATGGCAAAAGAAGAGCCAATCTTTAATGTCAGACAATGAAATCTTAGAAAAAGAAAATACTACAATAATAATAAAGGAACACCAGAAGTGATTATTATGGACCAAAGAAAAAAGTTAGAGAAAACTAACAAAAATCCTATGATACTACATACATATAGTAATGTAATGTACATATCTTTAAGCGAATTAAGTCAAGAATTAAACATTTTAAAAAAAATAGCTAATATGGAAATGTAAATAACATTGGGGCAACTTTTTAAATAGTCACCAAAGACTAGAGCGAAAGTGCTAAAGATTCTAACAAGAAAGAGAAAAAAGAATGATATAGTAATAATAGATACTAATATTAGTGTAGTTAGGCAGTACAAAATACTCCTCTAAGCCATAAAAATGACGTGCCTATGGGTTTAATTAAAGTTAATGGTGAAACAATCACTGCACCTATTGACTCTGGATCCCAATTGAACTTTGTAAACAAAAAATATACAAAAAGCAGAGGATTGACTTGGAGAGCTGTTAAAGAAAAAGGAAGAATAGTGAATAATAGTGTTAGTAATTTCCTCAGATTTATACCAAATATAAAAATAGATATAGACAGAATTAGTGTTATTTAGAGATTCTATGTAATGGGCTCTGCCAGTTTCGACGTGCTGCTTGGTATGCCCTGGTTGACCACTGCATGTTGTAACTTGAATTGGAAAAATAATAAATATTGGTGTACAGTAGCATCACCATATAAGAAAGTATCTTTCATAGCTACCTTGGTACTTGAAGCATTGATGAGTCAAGAAAATGATGAGTATGAGGATAGGATGAGAATGAAATCGGTATAATATCAGTATGAAGAATAAGTATTAACAAACTTGATGTACAGAAAATAGAAAACAAATATCGAAAGATAATAACTGGAGCAAGGAATGCAGATCATTTGATGGTAGAGGAAGTTAGCCCAATCAGTGATGATCAGTTTGAAAAGACAGAATATAACAGGTGGGTGATGTACTGGAATGTTGATTAGGAAAATAAAAATGGTGTAGTGAGTATATAAAATGCAAATTAATAATATGGTTTACAAAAAAAATAGCATAGTGTTGGATATCAATAAAGAAATTCCAAGTGAATGGAAGGAATACTTGTTGGGTTAATTGATCAAAAAGTTTCCAAAACATTTGCCTTCGACCTTTTAGAGATTGGTAGGACCAATCTAATAGATTATGAGGTGCAAACAAATAGTAAAAAAATACTAGCAACCCATGTAGGGCCAATATGCATCAATAATCCTGAAAAAGCCCTCATGTTTGAAAAACAACTTTGTGAAATAGTTGAACAGGGCCTGCTAGAAAAAAGCAGCAAACAATATGCATATTACTGTTTTCTAGTAAATAAGAAAGAAGGTAGAACAGATAAATTAAGGATGGTAAGAGATATGAGACCTTTAAATAAACATATTGTAAAGGATGGTTACCCTCTATCTATGATTTGTAACAGACTTGAAATAGCAGTTAGCCATGATTGGTATTCTTCGATTGATGCATATAAAGAATATTGGCAAATCCAGATTCAAAAAGAGGACAGAGATAAGTATTTTTCATAGCTACCTTGGTACCTGAAGCATGGATGAGTCAAGAAAATGATGAGTACAAGAATGAGGATGAGAATGAAATCAGTATAATGTCAGTACGAAGAATAAGTATTGACAAACTTGATATAAAGAAAATGGAAAACAAACATCAAAAGATAATGACTGGAGCAAGGAATGCAGATTATTTGATAGTAGAGGAAGTTAGCTCAATCAACAATAATCAGTTTGAAAAGACCAAACATAACAGGTAGGTGATGTACTGGAATGTTGATTAGGAAAATGAAAATGGTGTAGTGAGTATAGAAACCCTGAATTAATAATGCAGCTTACAAAAGAAAATAGCATAGTGTTGGATATTAATAAAGAAATTCCAAGCGAATGGAAGGAATACTTGTTGGGTCAATTGATTGAAAAGTTTCCAAAACATTTGCCTTCGACCTTTCAGAGATTGGTAGGACCAATCTAATAGATTATGAGATGTGAACAAATGGTAAAGAAATATCAGCAACCCGGGTAAGGCCAATATGCATCAATAATCCTAAAAAAGCCCTTATAATTGAAAAACAACTTCATGAAATAGTTGAACAGAGCATGCTAGAGAAAAGCAGCAGACAATATGCATATTACTATTTTCTAGTAAATAAGAAAAAGGTAAAACAGATAAATTAAGGGTGGTAGAAGATATGAGACCTTTAAACAAACATATTGTAAAGGATAGTTACCTGCTACCTATAATTCATAACATACATGAAATAGCAGTCAGCCATGATTGGTATTCTTTGGTTGATGCATATAAAGAATATTGGCAAATCCAGATTCGAAAAGAGTACAGAGATAAGGTAGCTGTTGCAATCTCTATAGGACTTTTAAGATATATAGTTATGTGTATGGGCTTGAAGAAACTAGTGAAACATTCTAGCGTCTGATAGATATAGTATTGGAGGAAGATGAATAGTGACATGTTGCCGCAGTATACCAAGATAATGTAGGGTTATGAACAGATAGTTCAGTTAAGAAACACATCGAGTTGTCTGTAAAATTAGTCTGTAGGTTTAAGGAAGCCGGATTAATGTTAGCAGCAAAGAAATGTCATGTGTTGTATAAGGAGTTGAATATGTATGGGTTTATAGTCAGCAAAAAAGGAATAAAGGTAGATTCCATGATGTAAAAAAAATAATTAAATGGCGCAGGCCCACTTGTCTCACTAAGATGTGGTCGTTTCTAGGAATAATGAATTAATACCACCATTTTATAATAAATTTCAGTAAAGTGGCTAAGCCTTTTACTGAATTAATGAAACAAAATATTGAATATAAGTAGACTGATGAACAAGAATCGTCATTTTAAAATTTGAAAGAGTTGCTGCAGAATGAGATAATGCTAAAGGCACTGAACTGGAAAAAGGCAAAAATTGGAGAAAGACCTTACCAAATATATACTAATATCTGCAATATATCCTTGGACATGGTTCTAGAGCAAAGAGATGAAGAAGGCCGATTATGTCCTGTAACCTTTAAATCGAGAAAATTGAATCAACATGAACTTAATTATACTGTAACAGAAAAGGAGTGTTTGGGTGTTGTATTAGGTTGTGAGTGATACATTGGGGGAACTACTTTTGATATGTGGATGGATCACCATGCATTGGAGTGGTTATTTAACAAAATAGTACTTAAAGAATGTCTTATGCAGTGGATCTTGACCCTTCAAATGTTCAGCTTTCATGTGCATTACAAATCAGGAAAGTCACATGGCATTGCCAATAAAATTTCAAGATATCTGAATCTACCAGAACAACAAGAGCCTATGGATAAACAATATATTGAAAACTTGATAATACATGTTAGTAGTGAAGACCAAAAGGTAAATGATTTGAAAGCAATTATACATTACTTGACTTCTTTTACCTGGCCTGACTATATGACGAAAAGAGGATTTAAGATGTTTGCATCCGAAGATGAGAAAGTATTGTCTTTTGAATAACCAACTATACCGGAGAGCTGTAAAGGGTAGACTGCCAAGAAGAGTAATATTTGACTATGAAGAAAAATGAATAATAATAAGGGCAAATCATGAAGGTATTGCTAATGAAGAAGGACACCATGAGATTAACAGTTGTGTTAGGAAAATTCTAATGAATTATAAATAGCATCAGTTAACTTATACAAGGATATAAGAGGGATGTAATGTTGTATATAATCTGTCAAAAGTGTGAGCTTAATGTTCCAAAGGAACTCCTCCTTATCGTAGCAACTAGTTGGATCATCCATAGGCTATATATTGATTGTATAGGCCCAATGCATTATACAAGTGGGGGACATGAACATATTGTAGTGGCTGTGAAAGACTTGATAGGATTTATCAAAGCATGGGTGCTAAAAAAGAAAATTATGAGAAATATTGCTCAATTCATTTGAGATAATGTGATCATGTGGCATAGATGCTTTGCCGATCTAGTCTCTGATAGAGGCATTGAATTCAAAAATGGCATAATGGATAAATTAGCTGCACGATTAGGTGTAGATCACAAATTTGTAGCAAGTTATCACCCAGAAGTGAATAGTAGAGCAGAAAGGACTGTTCAAAAACTCTCCAAAGTCTTGAGAAAAGTATGTGCAGAAAAACAAAACTGTTGGAATAAATATTTGCGTGAAGTTGTGTGAGCAATAAACATAATGGTTAGAGATCTTGATTACTTACTATTCTGGTTTGTGTATGGGAGTGATGCGATTACGTTGCCGCTCGAATTAACTATTGACATATATTAGATGTTTGTAATTAAAAGGTCCTGGACTACCAAAGAGTTATTGGAATTCCAAACACTACAAATGAAAAATTTGAATCATGAGTTGAAGGAAATGCAGGTGAACTGTGATGAGTTGAAGAAATGATAGAAATACTTCCATGATCACTGCCATGATTATACAAAAGAAAGCATGAATGTAGGAGATTTGGTTTTGGTGTATGACTTAATGCTAAACACATCTCTCTTCTGAAAACTTGACTACTGATAGTTAGATCCTTATGTAGTGGGTAGAATAGGAAATCACAGACAATTTTATCTTGTAGAGTTAGATGTCATAGGCAGAAATTCGTCTAATTGGTTAATTTTTGTAGATCTACCCGTGATTATTAGCCAATCAGATTTATAGTTTTATTACAATATCGGTATTAACTATTAACAAAAAACTGCAAGAAAACAAAAGCCTTATACGTAGGAAGAAAATGCATAATCAAAAATATACAGTATATATTTGAAAAATACAGTATGCTATAAACATATAAAAGAAAATATAATAAAGCAATTATTACTTTAACAAGCTTAAACACTCTATATTTCACTATATATAAACCAAGATCTTTAACAAAACTTAATATGTTTCAAGAACTAATCTAACTTAAAGCCTATCTTATACATTATATTAGACTTCTTTATTAAAAACCTTGTTTTGTCTAAAAACCCAACTAAGATCTTTTAATCTTAAAAAAAGAAAAATAAGTATTTCCATTAAAAACTGTTTCTATTTAGCAGTTTAAAATTTAGAAAAGGCTTTTTTTTCTTTACCTAGTTCAAAAAGTCATTATTAAGTTAGCTCCTCTTAAATTAGAGATTATTGGAGATTATTTTTGAAGTTAGCTTTCTAGCACCTCTTCGAAGCTAGAAACGATATTTGTTAAGGATAGTTACTTGTGTAATGTTACGTTCTCAAAAAGTACTATAAACTATATAAATAAGTTACCTGTTCAATTGATTTGCATTAGCCAATCAGACAAATTTCTGCCTATGATATAATACCACCTTTCCCTTATAAATAAACAAATAGTAAAAAAAATAAAAAAATAAAAAAAAGTAAGGAAGCGCATATAAATTAAATATATCATTAAAATTTAAGTATTAAAGAGGTAACTTACTTTATGATGGGTAGATATAAGAACTCGTCTGATGATTTAAATAAACCGTTAGAATCATTTATATAATTATTTCAGAAAAAATATTAAAATATACTTATCATTAAATGAGTAAAGAAATAATCGTAATAGAGATATTGGATATTTTTTTCTTGGAGGAATTTTTTAATGTCGAGTTAATTTTTTCATAAATGAATTTGGGTTTGCTTATTCTTGACGCTTTTCCAAGCCACTGTAATATAACGACCATCCACAAAAAGATGTCTTTCTTGCTTCGCAAAAGGATGCCTTTCTTGCCTAATTACAAACAAAAAACCTAAACTAGAGAGAAGTAATAGTAAAGGAATCACTTCACACAGCACCAAAACTAGGATAAAATACTGATGCTGAATATTGCACATTTACTTATTAGCACGAGATTGTTACATCAGACACTGTACAATAAGTAGTTATTATATAGGTATATTGTAAATCCTGTGCCTTCGGTATGGAATATGAACCCATATAATAATGATAATATTGATGTGATTATATACATGTATCTGTTTTTATATATTTTAAATACTGACCTGTTAGAAAGGCTTTCAAGAGATGAACTCACTCTAAATAATCCAGCAGAAGCCTACAAAGGGCAAACAACAACAAAGACCC